ATGTTAAGAGCATCCACCAGTATATTTGTTAAAAATAGAAATAAAATAATAAAATAAAATAAAATCAAGTTTTATTCTAATCTTGTTCAGGAAGCATAACTTTAATAGCTAAATTGGTTCTCGATCCATTTAAGTATAAACCAGTAATAAATTATATTTCAAAATGACAACATGCCCTATGTATTGTATATATTATATAAAAACGTATTCTAATGCTATTACTTTTTAAAAATATTAGTATATTGAACCTCTAAATAATTCGATGTTTAAGATGTATTTTTTAAAGATGCCACATTTTATTATGTTGTTCACTCGATATTACTCCTATAGAATAGGAACGATAAATATACCTACATTTTGAAAGTACTACATAAATGTTCAATTTGATGTTTTACCCCCTGGGTTGCATGGCGGGTTACAAATTGGATGATGACATTTCGGCCTATGCGCAGTTCGAACAAAACGTAATGTTCTTTTTTCAGTACTGTGTCTTGACTGTCGAAACTATATCAGTTTCTCATTCGAGTGAACGATCAAGTAATACAAATAGGTTATTTGATATGTTAACTATACAACGCTTTATTCAATATATAAATGAACCGAACATTTTTTAAGTTTATTATTCTTTAATTAATATGATGTAGTAAATTTATAAACTAGAACATCATAATAAACAATGAAGATCACTATAGATTTATAAATAGGAAAAAAAAAGTACAATTTTATATTTATTGAACTGTGATTAATTCATTGAGATAATGTTAGAGGTTCGTTTTGATTTTAACTATAATAATGTTATTATATTAATATAATACTGTTGCGTGTCAACCGTTTGATCGTTATTTCAGTTACTAGTAATCTAGTCAACGCTTGGATTTAGGTATAATGATGAAATAATTAATACTCTTTATGATTAGTAGTTGGTTTATTTATTAAACTGTTAAATTATTCTAAGTACAATAAATTAAAAATAGCTGTTAAAATTCTAAGTCCTAACAATTAAACTTTATAAAAATATTTCTAAATGTTTCTAAGTCCAGACCATGACACACTAGCGTGAAGGTGCTCAGTGTCGCATAGCCAAAACACGTTTGATTTGCCCTTGTTTTCGGGTCCCTTTTATATCTGATATATGCAAGTGTGTGTGTAAATCCCAAGTGTGTGTGAGCTATCTCCCGACTAGCCCATAATTACTGACGCAGATATCCAGGATGTGGTCACTATTGTTTTGATTAACTATTTTTATTTCAATTTCCCATCAAATGATTATATGAACCAATTATATAGAATTTATGTAATTTATCTCACGGGTGTGTTTAATCAATACAGTTGTTCCTTATTGAATGATGTTATGTGATATTTTGTGTGTTATCCTAATAATTATTAATTTGTTTCCTTGTTCAATTCTATGTAGATGTGACGTTTGTGTGATAATGTGTATATTTTAATTAATCCAATTATTTAATATTTAATACATTTAATTTATTAAATGTCTTGTAATGTAGGGTGATCATAGTATTACTGTTATCCAAGTACGTGGGACACGATAATACATAATATACATATTATAGAAATTATTTTACTTAAATTACATGGAAATCTTTGATTAATATTAAGATATTTTAGCTATACAAAGCAAGGGTGCACACAAAAAATAACTATAAACTCACTAATTAACAAACTAAATATTTAATAAGAGTTTATAATTAAATTGAAGATATTGAAGATACATAAATATTTTACTAACAACGCATAAAAATATTTCCAATTGAAATAATAATGGTACATAAAAGAAATTAAAAATAACATTTTCAACGAAAATACCCTAAACAAGTATAATGTTTTAAGTCATTTGAAAGTGACCTTAACTAGTACTAATTTTATTATAACTCTAAAGTTTTTGAAATTGATTAGATAAAAAAATATCAACAGCTAAATAATATTTTTTTTTCAGTATTTTACAATATATAATAAGCAATGAATCATTATTAACATTTCTTGTATTTAATAAAATACATAGTTATAGTATCGATAATGCAAAATAAAATTAATAAATTGCTTATAATAGCACTTGTTAATTTATCCAGAAAAGTTACATTTTTTTATTTATTCCAATAATTGAGTATATTTATGTCGGTACTAACACGATTAGTTTTAAACCAAAATGGGCATTAAGTAATCGAAATCTTATAATGATAATAAAAATTATTAATACTAAAATCTATATTTAAGTAACTACACTTCATTCTATACTTAATCTCATTAAATATTAAAACAATATAAATCTTTGGATATAATTACGTCCGATTAATATTTTTATTTTAATCAAATAACTACTCAAACATTAATCAATCTTATGTAGATACAAAATGTTTATATAATTCTTTCAAATAAAATATAATAGATATAAAAAGCAATATAGAAATAAATCTAATGTATATCTGAAACAGGATGTATCCGATGAGCGTTGACTATTTGATTAGATTCATGATGATTTTTACGTGGGTTCTTGAAATATTATAAGAAATGCATTCAAAATGCGTAGGTTTCGTCAAGAGATTTTAAATGTAATAATTTTTGTCAATTTAACTGTAGCTACTAGCTATACAGCCTAAAATATATGCGATTAGACATTAAATGTTTTCAAAAATCAATCATACATTTAAATTGTAATTCCCGAGATTTTTACTTACATTTTTTTCGAAACACTCTAAGATTTAATTTTTGGATCAAATAATTAATTAATGTAAATTATTATTTGTTTTTACCAATAAATTAAATAATTATACTTAATAATTAATTTATTGATCGTTGTTAAAACACTAAACATCTATAAATTTCATTTCAATATTGGTACAAATAAAAATGAATTATTCTTATTGTTTGTGTCAATAATTAATTAATAATTATAATAATCAACATTGTTAATGAAGACAGCAATGCAGTTAAATGTAATACCGTGAGTGATTTGCACTCTAACACTGCAATGCACGGATTTGTCATGTGATGAATATGCTGAATCCATGACAAATATTTGGAGGCAAAACAAAATGCACAGCGATTGTCGATGGCCAAACAAATACCTATACTGATGACCATTAGTGGCGATGACTACTATTTCCATAAACGGCGAACCGCGACTCTATTGGGAGACGCAACTATGTCGGTACATTTACGCGGTAAGAAGACCCGTCCGATGAGAGGGTCCGTAGGGATAAATCAAATAATATAACGTGATAAAATCGTAATATAATCGTAATGGCAATATTATATCCTCACTGTGGTGTGTCGGGGCCAAAAGAACGGGTATGAAAGATTTTTCAAACACGTGTGTCTGTTACTCGCAGCGTTATACGTTTATATTTTAACGCGTCATCCCTTTTGTGTGGTCCCGCCAAATACCGTAATATTCTCTCCAGGAGAGCCTGAGAGATCGTTTAGAGACGACAAGGATATCGTTGGTGGCGAGAGCCACGAAACGTATATAGAGAAACAGGATATATTCTAATATCACTTGGATAATTGGCTATCCTCTTTGCTTAGTTGATTGACATATGAGCTAGCGAGTGCGCACGCTCCCCCTCGACCACGAGTGGCGTCCCGCACGTCAACATATAGTATGGCAGTAGACCACTATAATGAATAATAATAATAAGAGAGAAAAAAAATAGTAATAATAATATTACAACTACACGCCGCAGCTTACAACCGTGAAAACGTTCGTGTCGAGTGTTTACTGTTATTACCACTACCCGCACCCGTTTTAACAGCCGCGGTACTATGCAGGATATATTGGGCGAAATCCAACGGGAACACAACGCGCGAGAGAAATATTCGAAATTCCAACGTAACTAAATGTTGTTGTTTTCTTTTTCTGTACAAACAACGGGAGGTTATAAATGGCGACGACCCCCAGGATCTTGTCAGTCCTACTCAAATATTATCGATAAATTAACCAGAGTTTCTCACATTCAAACGCACGGAAAATTAAAATAATAATGTAGGTACTGTTATGTTTAACACCGGTCGTATACTACATACCGTTTACACATAAAATTTCGTATCGACCGCACTGATAAAATATAGTCAATTTATATAATACATGAATGCCTATAAAAAAAAAAAAAAAAAAATAAAAAAAACAATGGCGAAGTACAAAAACCCTCAACCCTCAAGTATAAAAAACTGGGTCATGATTTTAAGTTCCATATATTATTATATATTTTATGTTTTTTATTTGACATTCATTATATTATTATCAAAAGTTCCAATAATAATATGGGTAAACTATATTTCATTCTGACCTTTTTTTTTTTTTCATACATTTTTTTTTCATGAAGGCTCATGTTAATTTTGTCTAGATTTGGATAACATTCGATTACCGCGTATTTTAGATTATACTCACATTACACACCCTTTCAAAGGGATTTACAAGAAGAACCACGTAAAACAGCTGTTTTACCAGTACCCGACGACCGTATTTTGAAACGAACCGAATTTTAATCGCTTGGGATTTGAACCGTCAGCCAGACGTAACAAAGCATATTGTTATACACATCGAAGTTTGTACGTGTTAAAGGCAGATCTCGATGCAAATTACCTCGGTTCGAATCTACCAATCGGGATACAATTTGATTAAACTAATGCGAATACACTGATTTATACACGTATCTTAAATCTGGAAGACGGAATGATTAAAAAAAATGGTTTTATCGATAAGTGTCAAGGGAGATTTTGAAAATTACGTTGTTGTCCTTAGTATATATTATATATAAACGCCAGTGGAGAGGCGACGAGAAAAACGATCGGAAAAAATCTCCGAAAAACCGTTGGGCGAACGAATCGATTCTTCTACCGCAAGCACATTTAGCATCGAGCCCCACCCGCCCCGACAGTCGGCGACTGCAGAGCGCGACGAATGCACAACAATACGAAACCGTAGCACAGCTTTTGGCGCGTTGGAGTACACTAACGAGATAATGAAATAAAACAAAACTTACCGATCGTCGAGGAGTGCAGCAGCAGCACCGAAATCGCGAACATCGCCGCCGACGTGCTCATTGTCTAACCGCGGGTGTGTACGACCACGAAATCGCCGAAACTCTTCCACACGGACTTTTACGCCGGTTTTCGCGGCGCCGACGCGGGCGTCCGGACCGCCATAATAATTCCGCGGTAACGTGCAACAACGAAAACGTTAACGATCGCTCGCGACGGTCAATCAAAAAAGAAGAGAGATAACCGACTAACGTGTCCGACGGCGCTCGTATTACTTGTTATCGGTTCGATTGATTTAATTATGGCGTAGCCGCGCGATGTTTGTACTACAATGTAACGTCGTTATCATCAAACGGACCGCACACACGCGGCGCGCGCGCCGACAAACGCCACCGCCGGTACCTTATCAACGGCGAATGTTTTTAATTCGAAAATATTTATCGATATCGCACGGCCGAAGCGAACAAACAATAATTGAGGCGCGCGCGCGCACTTCACCCGACTGTCGGCAGTGGACTACGGCCCGCGTAGGAACGGGTAGGTAGCAGAGCCGCGGTAGTAGGTACACAATAGTAATAGTAGTAGTGTCGATGGCGGCGGCGGTGGAAGTAGTAGAACCACGGTCGTAGTAGTAGCGGCGGCGGTTCGCCCAAAGAAGACACGGTCACGTGGGGGGAAAACGCGCGCGCTAGTCGTCACGGGGCGAATTACACACTGCCGCGGCCGTCGTCGTCGTCGTCGTCGTCGGCACTCGGCCGGTACCGCTGCGCTGCGCGGCGGCGGCGGCGGTGACGTGCGTGCGTGCGCGCTGGTGTGCGTGTGTCCGGACCCGCCGCCGTCGCTCCCTTCGGAATCAAGTATTGACCCGAGAGAGTGCGTACGCGACCGACGTTCATGTATGTGTCTATGTGTGTATATATATATTTATATATAATACAATTTATATACTTTATATATTACTACGTACAAACGCGTACGAATGGGCCCGCGGCGCCCCCCCCCCCCCCGACGGTCCCACCCGCCGGTACCTCGACGATCGTACGTATTATGGACGCGC